TATGACAGGTGTCCTGCATACTGCTAGGATCAATGCTATCGAATTCATCGTGAGTAGTGATAAGTTAATAAAGATGGTGAATTTTAAGTTCGGTAATGGAATGTGAAGGTGAATTAATCAACATGACAGGAACGTGGGACAAAGAAAAAATTCTGAGTCCCCGACACTTTTGTAGATGGAGGCACTGCCAGAGTTATGTGTCTTAGTGAAGAACACAGCGAGGACTCCAACCTGGAACTGTTGATATGGATCTGGAGTCAAGCAGACTAACAACTAGAAAATCCTGTCTCTGTCAATGGACCAATTTCGATATGTTAAAATTCAGCCTAAAGCAATAGACCTCAGTACGAAGCTCTGGAAAATAACTACACAGTTTGTGGGGCTTATTCCCTGGAGCCCTGCACTGAGGTCTATTGCGTTAGGCTGAATTTTTAATATATCGAAATTGGTCTATTCATTTTTGGAGGGTTCCCCCAAAACCAAATTATTAATATGTACAGTAAGTGACAAAAAAGCTAAGAGAGCCAAGTCTCTGGAACACATTATGATAACCCAACCATGACACAAACTCAGAATTAGCCCAGCAACCCTTTAAATCAATACTATTCAGGTTGCTTCATTTGCAGCATTTCAAACTGCCAGTTAATGATACTTTTGAATGATCTAATTGATGTTCTAATGCTATTGTGCATAAATGTAAATTACGACTTTACTGAAAGCAAAATATTAAAATTAAGCCTAAGCTTCAGGGATTTCATTAACGACTTCAGCACAAGGGCAACTGGTTTTTACAGTCGGGCAAAACTATTTGAGCTGAACTTCTTTTTTCTTTCCATTACATGATCACACCGGGCAGGCAAAATGGTCCTCACTACCGGTCAGTTTGCCCACTGCCCGGCCCTTTTTGAAACCCCTCAAGCCTAAAGGCATTCTTTGGCTCAATTCCAATTAAATGTAAATGTACATGTGTACACATAACAAATGTACTTGTACTGTGAGCAGAACATGACTCACAGTAGTCAAACTGGGCATCACTTCACTGAATGAAATGTTTAATATGAAAAATTAATAGAAGTCTTGCAATGAAAGCAAAATGTTGCAAGTCAGCAGAAGTTGTAAGTTTAATCAAGTTTTATTTAATTATGCGGAACGCGAGCTTGTCAAATGGTGAATACTTACGCTGGTCATTAGGCTGTTAAGCTTTTCAACATCTTTCTCATCAACCTCATCATCATCTTCATTTTCATCCTTTTCCGAGTCTGAACTATCACTAGATGAAGAGGAGCCAGAATCTGATTCAGCAGCGACAGCGGTTGCGTCTTCAGGCTTGGAGCTGATCTCCTAAATTACAGAATGAAAGCACTGCCATATTACACATCATCGATCAGATTCAGGCTATCCTGAAGCAATAACCAACTGGTTTCTTTGGTATCAATATTGCTGATGGCAAATCATGAATGTCAGAATCTGGGTTATGTTGTACCCCATACTACTTCCTAGTGGCCCTCCAGTTCAGTTTCAGTGGCATGAGGCAAAAAGAAATTAAAATTCCTTTTCACAGCTACAAGTATAACCCAACAACCCAACAACCTCAACACCACCTCCCACTGCCCCACCCCCCGATAGGCTGTTGTTAGTCCATCACAGGGTTCACCAGAATGGACAGTTTTTCAGAGATCAACATGATGTCATACCTGAGAACTTGTCACAGAAGGAGGAGTTGCATTCTTGACTGGCGATGTTTGTTTTGTCGTCTTGTTTTCCACTGGTTTCTTCTTGGTTTTGGTTTTGTTTTTCTGAGATTTTGTGAGTGTCGCAGTTGAAGGAGTCACAGGTAGCTTCACTGGTTTGGAGGACTGATTTGAAGACCTTACAAAAACACAAGAAAGTTGTTTACATAGTAAGGAAGATCCCTTAATAGCCAGGATATAGAAGTTTCAAGTGTTTAAAAGTGTTTTCAAGACAGCTTAAAATATCTTCAGTAGGTGATCAGCTATAAATTAATAACAATTTTGGTACTTGGATAAAGTGAGGCATCCTATGTTGTAATCAATAATCTATAAATAGATCATTTTTATTTCAATGCATCATTTTAAAACCCTCCAAAAAGAGTTGGTTGAAGTTATTAATGTTTAAGAAAACAATATCTACTTAGAACAAAATCAAACAAATTTAGGGACAACGTCTGACTCACAAGTTGATATCAAGTATATATTACCTAACTTTCTTGAGTTGCGGAATAGCTGACTCAATTCTCTCCAAAGTAAATGTCTGAAGGAATTTGAAAAAAAAAGAAAAGGTTATTACTTAATGGTGAAGAAATAAATATAATAAAGTACAATCTGTTGTAGTCTGGAAGTAATAAATTATTACAAGCATGATACAGCCTGTACATGTTCATTTGCTGCTGTTAAATGACAATAAATTCATATGAGACAAAAAATAAATAAATAAATAAATAAATAAATAAATAAATAAATAAATAAACATGTATCCATTTTCCATGTACCAGGGATGCTGCTACCAATAACAAAATTGTCACCAATAAATATTCAGTTTGATTTAGAAAATTTAGCCCAAAGTAAATACACCTACTGACTGGTTTAAAATTGTGTTTCTGTTACTTGAAAGAAACACAAAACTAGCACGAGCTGTTCACATACTGATAGCACGAGCAAAGAGAATAAATTTACGATTTGATGATTGAAGTAAACAAGTTGTTTTCTTGTTTTCATTGCAGAATTTTTTGAAAGAAATAATAACCATGTTCTCTGTGTGGCTATCAAGTTATCAATTAAACACTCGTATAAGTTTGGGAAAAGTTGAAAAAGCTGTGGAAACACTTTGCTTTTCGGCTCGTGTTAAGGCCTTTCCCACAGCATTTCTCATTCTCCCAAACTTCCACTTGTGTTATTAGACATGACACATTTTTTTTTTGCTATTTCTTAATGTAATTTTATGAAGAGAAACTAGTTTTGACATTTAACAAGTTATCTATTACTGAAGTCCACAAAGAATCACACACTAAGTCAGCTTTCTCACTGAATCTGCAAGGATATACGTGTAGCAAGGACTGATGTTTACACTTGTTGAAAAACTTAACTGACCAAATTATTTTTTATATAAACATATATTTTGAGCCTCCTATACAATACCTTTTTGTCTTTGTCCACCACCAAAATAAATTCCTTTGTGCAGCTCCTTTTAGAGCCACGATAAACAGTGTTACTAGAATCCTATATGTAAAACAAAACAACAACAACAAAAAAGCAAAATAAACGATTCTACAGCAGAAAAATGTTATCTCAAACTTGGTCACCTCTTGGTTATCCCCACTCATTCGAAGGTAAGTAGTTTTCTCTTAAACCCTCACTACCTGAAACTTATTTTCATTTTCCTTACAAGTTTGAGATCAGGGCCTGGTTCAGCTAATCCAGGAGTAGCAATAATTTTAATTTAAATTTAATTTGTAACTTTTTTGGTGAAATTTCTTGTTTATATCTTGTTTGTCCTTCAGTTTAAATAATCTCAAACTAAGTGAAAAGCATTTTATACAAGAAAAATTAATACTTTTGTTAACTTTTCTCACTGAATTAACATCAACAAGTTTTCAAACAAATGGCCCAAGGGTTCAATTGTAAAATGAGAACCAAAGTAATTTAGTTTGCCCTTCCTTCACTCCCCTGTAGACTAATTGCATGCATGCATGGTAATCACCAACAAGTCATACATCGCCTAAAATGATGACTGATCTCAGGCAGCATGTTTAAATTTTCTTACAGAAACAAAATAAGAGAAAGAAAGAAAGAAAATTTTAGTTTAGTACAGTACCTGTACATGAGGCACAGTGACAGTGATCTCATTTGTATCACCTACAACAAGTTCTGCTGGTCTTGTGGTATCTACTGATGCAGGCTTGAAATCATCTGTCAAGTACATCAAGTACAGTGAAGGAAGTTTGTATCATATGATAAAGTGTATGAATTCAATGAGTCACTTTCAAAGGAATAATAAACCTTTGCTTCCCCTAAAGCTAAAGGGGCAATATGTGTTGTACATATGTCTGGAATTATGCAAACTGGTGTTTATGAAAACTAGACTGGGCTGCTCAAGCATTTTGTTTCGCACCAGAGAACTCCAAAGTAGATGATGTAAAAACATAATTAAAGGAATGTCAGTCTTTTTTTTTTTCACTCTCTTGTCTTCCTTTTTGTAAGTTTCTATTGTTTTTTTAAGCCTTTAGGAGACTAAAAATCAAAAACTAATTAGTGTGTAGCTCAGAGTCAGATAAGTACAAAGGAATACATTTTTCATTAACAGGGTTTTCATAAATCCAGTCATACATATTTATATGCACATGTACATGTGACTTCAGAAGTTTTATTTACCGTAGCGTACATGTTGTACACTGTAGGTCAAAATGAAATTCAGATTAAAAAATGAAATTCCTTTGTCTCTTAACCCTAATTATTCATGGATCATGAGTAATTAGGGTTAGAAGACAAAGGAAATTGAGAATCAAACTAGGTGAAAATAATTTTAACCTGAATTTCATTTTGACCTACAGCTGTACAACATTATGTCTACATGTTGGTTGTGTACTGGCATTTGAAAGCACCTCAGTATATCTTCCATGGACTGGTATTCAATAGGCCATTCCAAAATTGTGAGGGAGCTGGGGCAAGTTTCAAATTTTAACCAATTGATAAACTGACACCACCACATGAAAGATCACATTGAGAGTAGTCATTTGACCAAGTTTCATGCTTTTAGGGTGAACAGAGACTAAGTTATAGACCAAATGTCTCCAATGATGAGACAGCATCCCCAAAGCCATGTAAACTTTTAAATTTTTTTATGATTTCTGTGCTAATCTTAAAAATAGGCAAACATACGTGATTTTCATCTCAGCTTCTCTCAAATGGTAGATGAATGACGGCATTTTACAGTTGTCACAAATTGAGCATCAACTGCTTTGGTATGCATTACTATACTTCCTGATTGGCTTAAAAATCCCACCATTCTCAGCCAAATAGAACCAAAACCAAACACAACTCATTCATGAATACTCTTTTTCCCCCACAGTGACGGCTTCATGTCTTGTTTGGTTCACTGGATTTTCAGTGTTCTTTGTGACTGACTAGAGTGTTATACAATTTAGTGTTGCACCTGCAATGCACCCAGGCTATCAAAGGTAAATTTCAGCCAGATATTTGGTTTAGTTGCAGGCAATCTCATTCACTGAGAATATAATCTCTTAGTTCCAGTTTTTCGTTTTTCCCAGAGCATGCACAGGGTGTTTGATCACTGCCAACCAAAAGTGCACTGCTCTTGCAACAAAATTGATTTTTACGTACAGGTAAGTACATGTATGTGTACTGCTTTTTCCACACCACACACATACACCAGGTGTCTTAAAATCAAAGACCCTTAAGATCCCCTAAGACCCCAAAACTTGAAAACAAAGATCCCTATTTTTTTAGATTTCTGTTTTTTTGGTGGAGGGTACTCCTCTCCTCAGTACTCCTCCTTTTTCTGAGGTAGGGGATCGAGGAGAGGCCATTCTTGTAATTTTTCATACAATCAGAACAGTTTGAATTAAAAGTTAAGTCTTCTGTTTGTAATCTCTCTTCTTTTTGTCACTTCCTCCCCAAATTGTCTTTTTCTGAGGGGAAGGGGTGGAGTTTTAAAATATGTACCACCCTCTGCTCTTTAATCTCCTGTAGAGAGCACAAGGTTGACAAACTGACAACTGTACTGTTCTCCCCCTTGCCCCAGTACTCCCTCCTTTTTCCTTCCACCCGTCCTAAAAAACTTGTCTTTTTTGAAGGGGGTGGGGGTGGGATGGGAGAGGGAATTTGAAACTAGCCTCAAATATGAACTAAATCATTTCCCCGGAAATCGTTGAGCCATGTCCAGATCTTTTTCAGAAATCGCAAGTGAAATCATTACCTTTCAATTACGTTGTTGAAATTCCCTTGATACATGACTTTCGAAAAGCACATTAATCTCTTGGCTTGAGTTATCAATCAATTGATTTATTGAGGTCAATGCGTGGGATGAGGTTACCCACCAAATTCGAATTCCAGGGAGAGGAGCAACCCCTCCCTCCCCCCTCCCCCCCCCCCCCCCACAAGATAAGGCCTTCTTCTTCATATTCGCTTTTATCAAGTTTTGGGGTCTTAGGGGGTCTTCGGGGTCTTTATTTTCAAGACACCCCACATACACCTAGGAATGGCAGATTGTGAGAAAATCAACAACAGTTTGTACTTGAATACAAGCTTTTCGTCATATTTGCTTAAAAATTGGATAAGTTTTTTCACCTCATATTAGGACACCTGTACGTTAAGCTTATAAAAATAAGTTATCTTAGCAAAGTAAGCTTATATTATATGCAGCAAGCAAAACTAATTTTTTAAGGAGTATACCTTTAAAATAAGAAATATTAAAAGTACGGAAACAATCACATTGCCGTCACTGAAGAGAGGTTGAGCTTAAATTAACAGACTGAACGCTAGCAAAGTTAATGTAAATGTTACAAGCTTATTTTCAGTAGCGCAGCTGCCATCACTGGCCGGAGTCTTGTTGCGTAGTTGCGTCGCGAATCTTTAAGCTTATAAAGTAACAAAATCAAGCTTACATCGTATTGTGTGAAAGGCTGTTTTTGGTCCTCCCTTTGAATGAAAGCTACTTCCAAGTTTCAGTTCGAATTCGCGATTGCTATTGAATGGAAAATCCAATTCATTCTCGCCTGGTTGGGCCGCCATTCTGAAAATGCAATAACAACAGCCTGCAATGTACTTTGCAGCGTTTACCCAGAGGCCAGTAAATACTTCATATATGATACGTATTCCGAGTGGCCATGTGTCACCTGGATTGTCTTTATATGAAGTACCTACCTAACAGGTTAATTACAAAATCAAGATGGCGGCTGGATGTATGTTTTGGAAAAGACATCCTGTCCTGTTATCAGGTCTTTTTCCAGGCACCACAGCTAGTTTGCAACGAAAGAAGCAAGTAATGTGCAGGTCGTGATGTCAAAAGCAGTCAGCTTGTAAAATC